ACGTCTTGTAGGTGGCCAATTACACAACTGGAATGTATCTGAAGGGTATCTGGGGCAACCCTCCCCAGCAAGAGTCAATCAGCCACTGGGATATAACCTGGCTCTTAAAGATTCTTGTTTATTACTACAATTCAGTACTGAAAAGTGCAATCCCAGTTAAGGGGAATGAAGGCTAAAGGCCAGAATACCTATATTAGATTGTTATTACTATCATTTATTTATACTGACATACAGAGAACAGCCACTTCCTTCCCACCTTAAGAAAGCAATCACATCTAGGGTGGAATGAGTTCACCTGCTGAGAAAGCCTCCCCAAAGCATGTAAAATACATTTTCTTCAGCAAAAAAAACCAAACAACACAACACAGCAGAGATTCCTCCCAGGCAGAAAATGCTCAACTGCTCCATCACTCTGTTTCCATCCCTTCTTTCCCTGGAGAAAGGCAACAAGCCAGCCTCACATTAACAGCAGCACTCCAGCAATTATCTTACTTTGGGAAGCTCCATTCTTACTAAAGCAAAGGTTAACTGTTCCACATTCACTTGCCAGACTTCAAGAGATCGAGTTCTACAATATTTGAGTAGGGGTTTTATCTCTTTAATGAAATTTGTGCATCTCTGGGAGAAAATCTGAGTTAGAAAGTGCCAAAAGCAAATACTATCTATTTCTTCTAATGGAAAGCCAAGTCACTTTTTGCAACCGCTAGCGCCAAAAAGGGTCTCAGAACAAACTCACTGAAAAGCAAAAATGTCTTCAAGCTATAATGGACTTGAGTGAAGTTAAATAAAACCACTAGCAGGGAATGAGCACAATGCAGAGCAGCCTTGCAGACCTGGAAGGGACCCCTGCAACCTTGTGCTCCATCCACTGAGCAATAACAGAACACATGTCCTCCCTCACTTGAACAGCCTTTGCTGGATCCCATCTACCTAAAAGCCATTCTCAAATAAAAGTCTTTCATAAAAGCGCAGAGTAATAAAGACAACTAAACCTGTACCGATCCATAGAGGACAAGAGCAAAGATTTACTCAGGGTATTTGAGGCAACTCAGCTTAATCCAGAATTATTGTGTATGCATTCAAGCACCAAACATTGTTAGCTGACATCTCCATTACTGAAAGAAGCCATCTGCCAAGCCAAGCACATGTTACTGAACTTAACAGCAAAATTATTTCTTCTTCTTGTCATTCATTATCCGGTCTTTTCCTGGACCCCTACTAATGCATGCAAACAATTCCCAATGTAAACTGAGCAGTCCTGCTACAGACAGTGAGATACTGAGCTCATTCTTGGAGCCATTTATTACACTAACAAATGAAAGCACAAATTTTATCTTATAACATCTGGGGTGGATAAATTAGCAGGCTGGGAGGGCGGGCTTTTAAGGATGCACCCACACTACAAACAAACAAAATCCCAAACAAAATTACCCCTAAAACTCCCCAAAACAATTCAACAGAAGCTAAAGGGTGAGATACTAGCAGTTTGTATTGCCTGAGTGTTGCCTTCGTTGGCGTGGCGACCTGGTTCAGGAACGGCACAGCGACCAATCCCAGGCCGCTCGGGCCATCAGCTCACGGACACCAATGTGGTGGATGGCAAATGGCGTTTATTGGCGAGTAACACGGAGTTATAGAGCCTGGGTTTACAACGTCACGTCCGTCTGCTTACGACCTAGGCTAGGCCCTATTGGCTACTCGGAGGGGGGTCTTATCTTTCCGTACAGCGCGACATCTTCCGATCGCCAGACCCTAACTACCTACATTCCCCCCTCCCTATGTTTAATTAAATAGGCTAATATAAAAAGTAAAAAAGTAAAAAAGTAGAAAAGGGTACACATATACATATAAAAAATGTTACAGCATGAGGCACTTCAGGTTAGTGGTTAATGACTTCGGGTAAGTGGTTAGTGAGGGGTAATTAAGGTAACGGGTTGTAAGTTGGGGCAAGTTGGGATAAGTGGGGGTAATACTGAGTAGATACATTCTTAAAGTAGTTGGTGGCTTTCTACAAGCATGATGTTAACCTGTTCTAGCCGGCTCTTCACAAATGACACAAGGCGATTCAATATACAGGGTCCAAAGAGTAATACCAGCACGATCATTCTACTTGCCCTATAGTAACAAACCCCAAAATCAAAATCAGACAAAGGCATCGTAGCCCCCTCCCTTGGGGGCTATTTCGCTGTTGCTCGGGGTCCGCTGGTGTGGAGCTCCTGGGTACAGACACAATGGTTAGAGACTTGTCGTCCTCTCTTGTCACCAGGGCGTACGAGTTACGAGGGCTTTCAATGATCTAATCCTGTGAACAGAAACTCACAATTGTCATTGGTTTTATTCTGGAGGTCTAGTTTAATGGATTTAAGTGGGCACCACCTAACTCTGCCATTTTTTCTAACAGCGGCATACCCTCACCCTGTAAGGGCTAGCCTCTATCGTTGTTCCCATCCCCATCTCTATTCCCGTTTTATATCGAACGGAAGAATATCGTCTCTTCCGAAAACACCATCTATGAGCGTGGAGACCATGGCAGAATTAAGCCCTTTATCTGCAATTGCCTTAACAATTGCTTGTACATCCTTAGGGTTTATTGGCGAGCGCACCCTCTGTCCCCCGTCTGTCACCCGACCGGGAATGCTAGTTTGACTCATGGGGCCCAGTCGGCAAACGCAATCTTTATTTCCTTCCAGTCCGTGAGAGGGACTTCTTCCCCTCGCCGTTCCTCTTTAGTCCGGATGGGAATGCTTTGGCTCTTGACTTTGTTTACCTCCGTTTCCTCCTCCTCTGAGTTTGAATCGGTTGCGAGCCACTCGCCCCAGGCAGTGTCTGACTCAGAGTCGGAAGCCGACTGACCGGTTACCTCAGGTTTCCCGCGCCTTTTCGTCGGGCTCCGGCCCCGCCCGCTTTTCTTGTGGGCGGGCCGTTCCCTCCCTCTGGGCTCTCCCCGCCCTCCTGGTTCGCCCCGCCCTCTGATTGGCTTTCCGCCCCTTGCTCGCGCGTCCCTCCCCCTTTCGGTTCTCCTTCTCATTCTCCTCCCCCCCCCCTTTACGCGCTCTTGTCAGTTCTAGCACTTCCCCCCTGTTCCCGCCGGGGAAATCTTCGCCCCGCCCTCCTTCTCTCCGCTCGGCGCCATTTTGGGGCGCATAGGGCGGGGGGCTAACCTCAGTTGCCTCGGACTCCTTCTCCGCGGCGCCCCTGGCCTCCTCGACCAACCCACCCCAAAAGGATTTTGCTCGTTCCTGTCCCTCCGTAGGCGGGTCGGGATTCAGGGACTGAGGAGGCGTGTCGCCTTTCTGCATAGCTTTAGGCTCAGTAGAGCCATCACCGTCTGGGGGGTGCAGAGTTTGTGTAGCTGCCCCGACTCCCAGTTTCGGGGTAGCTCACAAACAGCTGAGTATGCTGAACTCTTAAGTCTCGGTGGGCCCCACTGAGGTAAGCAGAGTATTAAGTGAATAGACCATGTCCCAGGAGAAGAAAAGGGCTAAACCTGAATTCTGGAGAACACTACTCCATTGCCTGGTTGGCTGAGACAGAATAGAGCCAAAAAACCCACCATGAGACCACTCAGGACACTGAGAGTGCCTCTGACAGCCCGCTGTACACACTCCTGACTCACATCAGCTGCAGAGCCAAGTTCTACCAAACCCAGTTATTAAACAGATGGCAAGTCTGTGTACACTTCCCTGCTACCATTATTGGTACTGGAACCTGGTACCCCAAAAAGGAAACACTACACAGCTGATGTAAATGGGAGCCAGATGGCTCAAGATGTACAAAGACTAACCCTCTGCAACCCATCATCACAGGTGGTCAGTCACCTTCATCTTCTGGATCCAGGGATATTACTGGGGATATCTCAACAGCTCTGTGCTCAAATGCTCAAGAGCAACAGCTCTGTGCTCTTCCAGTATTTGATGACAGTACGTATCATGCACACTAAACAAAACTAGACTCCTTTCCAGAGCTGCAGAACAAAACTCACGCTTTGAGTTTCCATGCTTTGTTAGCTTTCTTTTCCTTCTTCACCTCCATTGAAAGCACTACTCCTTTGCTAGGACACAAATGACACTAAGCTTGATGGCAAACTTCCAGTAAGCCACACTTGTACTAAGCGTGGTATGTTGGCTTAAAGTCATCAGGTACTCTCTTCTAGATAACGAAAACAGCAGCAGCAATCAGATATGGGGAACCCATCCATCAGTACAGTGATCTCTCCAAAAAGGTCTGCCTTTATATAAAAACAATTGCAAGTTGCTTTCTGTACAGGAAAGGAATTAGCGTCACATCCAACATATAAAAACTGAAGCACCAAAAGGGAAGTTACCAGCAGAGTATGTACAACCACATGCAACAATATACAAATTACTCAAAAGCCCCAATACACACCAATATGGAGAATATCTAAATAATCATCCATGATTTTTCTTCTATTTCCCTCTCACGTCTGAGTTGCCTTCTCTCTGACATCATTCTACTGCTCAGGACTTATTCCAGAGCACTTGTTCTACTGGACCAGTTCTCTTGTCCAGTACCGCACTCCACCGACAGAGCCGTCCACCACTTCAAAGTACCGCACTCCACCGACAGAGCAGTCATTCTTACCCACTGGGTCATCCAGAACAACCCCTGCCCACTGGCCCGGAGCAAATTGTGTCTCCCCAGTGTCTCTTGCATCATGTGAAACAGACATTTCCAGAAGACACAGCATTCCAAATAACAATGAATCCTGGAATGGATTTGGGTTAGAAAGGACCTTAAAGCTCATCTAGTTCCAAACCCATCATGGGCAGGGACACCTTACACTAGAGCAGGTTGCTCCAAGCCCTATCCAATTCAAAGCCTGCTTGGTTCAGGCATCCCCCTTCAAAGGCCAGGCTCTGTCCCAAACCTCACCACCAGCTGTCCTCCTTTCGTCTTGTCCTGAACCTGACTGGGTACACTTTGGGAAGGGGCAAATCCTTGATCTTTGCATTTCTAGAGGGACCCCACTGTCAACTCACCAGCACGCGATCTCCAAGCCGTAAGTCCTTGTCCCCTTTTTTCACAGACCCACTGTCTGAGAGGTTAGATCCAGACTCATTGCCCGTCTTCATGGCGCTGTTGAGGACGCTCTCCCGCAGGGGAATGACACGACTGGAGAGAGGTGGTGTGGCTGTCCCTGAGTGCAGCGACAGGTTCTGAGCCGTCAAGGAGTCCACGGAGGGGCTGTCGCTCCCCGAGCCCTCGGCCACCGGCTGCTGCGTCAGCTTGGACGGTCGCGTAAAGATCCCCTGCAGCGGCTGGCATTCAAAGTACCGCACTCCACCGACAGAGCCGTCATTCTTACCCACTGGGTCATCCAGAACAACCCCTGCCCACTGGCCCGGAGCAAATTGTGTCTCCCCAAGGTACTGGATCACACCTGGCTTCACTCCATTTACCCAGACGCGTTCGCCCACCACAAAGTCTTCCAGGTGATCATCACCCACCTCGGTAACCTTTGAACCCGACTTTTCGGCGCTGGTGGTGGAGGTGGTACCCTGCTTGTGTAAAGGTGAGCCTGTGAATCAAGGGAAAAGAGGTTTTGGTATGAAGAGAAAATCCTAAAAGGCAGCCAAAACACCAGGAAAGCGCATTTACAGAAAGGAAACATCTGGGACAACAACTTAGGTTTTAGGTTAACACCAAGTGAAGGTTAAAACCTGAATGACCCTGTTACTTACACATCTTCCTCAGCAGGAAAGCAATCTGCACAGAAATTTCTATCTGCTGCCCAGGTTCTGCACACAAACAGCCCACTCCATGCCTTCATCCCCCTTTACAATGCCTCAATCCCACCGCAACTCCAAAGGCTATTTTGCATGGCAGTACTACTGTGAATAAGTTCAAAAGGACAGGAGTGGTGCTAAGTCCTTCAGGATCAAAAGGAGACCAAGAACTGCTGCTTTGAAGAAAGATGCCAAAGTCATCCAAAAAATAAGAAAAACAAGAAAAGTATGAGGCAGTGATATTTTAGTAGCTGGTGCTACAACTCCTCCATGTGTTTGGATACAGGCAAACAGGTCGAGCATTTAGAGTCCCACCAAGGGTACTAATAGCTCCTGTGGGACCACACAGCTGCCTTTGCAATCTACTCAGTTTCCCCAGCTGCTGTTATGCCCTTTGCTGGAGCAGAACTCGGCAGTGAGCAGACACCTGGGGTATGTTCAATATAAACAGCATCTCTCTAAACAGGAAGCATCTACACACCCCTGCATGCACAACCTGCCAGGGCTGACACACCATGCACCAAACTCAATAAAACTCACAGTAAAGAGCACTTATTCCAGCATCAGCCCATCAAGTTGAAGCCAGACCTCCAGAAATGCTTCCCTGAACTGAGGGACAACTGCAGGTGATGCTGGAAATCCAGTCCCACTGACTCTTCAGCACACCCTTGATTGGCCAAACTCATTGTAATACACAAGGAGGCCCTTAAGTACATGACTGGCATCTGAAGTGGAACAAAGAAAACCCAAGCAAACAAGACAGTGGGACCCAACTCATGTAGATGCCACTGTCAAACTATCACAAACTGGGCTTTCAGCCTAGGCCCCAGGGAACGAAAGACAAGGACATGTGGACTCCATTAAAACCCTCTGAAGGTTAAAGGGGGAGGTTAAGTAAACCCCTAAAAGAAATCACACAAGAGATTGCAAAATTAAGCTTGAAAAATAAAGACTGGCAAGTCATATACCATGGACCTTCATTCATCCTCAGCTCTTGGTAGCACTGAGGTCCCAAGTGTACTTCTCCCCACAGCTCGTGTAGCGGGGATGTGTGCACAAGACTTGGTCCCATACATCCTGTGCTCAATGAAAGTGACCTGGTGTCGTGGTTTAACCAATGCCAGACAGCTTGTTACCCACTCCCCCCCTCTTCCTGCCCTCCCCTTACTCCTGGAGGGACGGAGAGGAGAATCAAAAAGAAATGCAACTCCCACGGGTTGAGATAAGAACAGTTTAGTAACTAAGGTATAACACAAATCACTACTGCTACCACCAATAATAGTAATGATAAAGGAAATAACAAGGGAAGAGAATACAACATCCCATCACCAGCCGACCGATAACTTGCCCCCCCAGCCCGACCAAGCACCGACCGATCCCTCCTCCAACCCTGCAGTCCACTCTAGCCCCCTTCCGGGTCACTCTCCCAGTTACCTCCTGGGCATGACGTGCTGTGGTATGGAATACCTCTTTGGTCAGTTTGGGTCAGGTGTCCTGTCCCTGCTTCCTCCCAGCTTCCCTCCTCCCTGGCAGAGCATGAGGCCCACAAAGTCCTTGGCCAAACCAAAACATCATTGTTTTCCAGCTCTGTTCCCAGCTGAAAGTCAAAACACAGCACTGCACCAGCTACCAAGAAAGAGAAAAATGACTGCTACTGCTAAACCCAGGACATTATCCACCCCTTATTCCATACCATTCACATCATGCTCAGATCCCACATTTTCAATATACCATCACTCTTATCTAAGTGCACTCTCATCAGTGCATGGGCCAGTCCCTATAAGGCTGCTGAGTCCATCTGGTCCATAATGTCAGGCTCCATCTCTTGTAACAATCTTTCAGAGCACAAGAGGCTGTGTGCAGTGTTCACACTTGTGAATAACCTGGGCAAAAGTCAATTGCTAAGTCCACCCCTCGATCACGAGTCCATCTCTATGTTGCATCTCTGCTCTGATGGCCTGAAATGCCATGGGCCCACCAGGCTCAAAATAATTCACTGTCCTTCCATCTCCAATGCTTCCAAAGCACTGGAGGGGCGCAGTGGACTAGATACTCACCCATACTGTCCCACATGCCCTGCCACTCATGGCTGTCCAGCCTTGGGGAAAACCTCTTGGTCCTCCTATATTGTTGTCTAACCCCAGACAAGACCCAAACCTGACTCTGCTTAAATTTCGGGATCAGACAAAATGGTGGTGGGTAAAACACACTCTGTATGTGTGCCAACATGCTGATCCCCATCACAATCAGCAGGCAGGTCCCAAAGATACCCAAACGCCATTCAAAACCAGAACTCTCAGGCGATGCTGCTGTGCTTGTCACTGGGGCTGGTGTAGCTGCTGTGCTTGTCACTGGGGCTGGTGTAGCTGCTGTGCTTGTCACTGGGGCTGGTGTAGCTGCTGTGCTTGTCACTGGGGCTGGTGCAGCTGCTGTGTCACTGGGGCTGGTGTAGCTGCTGTGTCACTGGGGCTGGTGTAGCTGCTGTGTCACTGGGGCTGGTGTAGCTCCTGCTGTCACTGGGGCTGGTGTAGCTCCTGTGGGGGCTGGTGTAGCTGCTGTGTCACTGGGGCTGGTGTAGCTCTGTGTCACTGGGGCTGGGTAGCTCCTGCTGTCACTGGGGCTGGTGTAGCTGCTGTGTCACTGGGGCTGGTGTAGCTGCTGCTGTCACTGGGGCTGGTGTAGCTCCTGTGTCACTGGGGCTGGTGTAGCTCCTGTGTCACTGGGGCTGGTGTAGCTGCTGTGTCACTGGGGCTGGTGTAGCTGCTGTGTCACTGGGGCTGGTGTAGCTGCTGCTGTCACTGGGGCTGGTGTAGCTCCTGTGTCACTGGGGCTGGTGTAGCTCCTGTGCTTGTCACTGGGGCTGGTGTAGCTGCTGTGTCACTGGGGCTGGTGCAGCTGCTGTGTCACTGGGGCTGGTGTAGCTGCTGTGTCACTGGGGCTGGTGTAGCTGCTGTGTCACTGGGGCTGGTGTAGCTGCTGTGTCACTGGGGCTGGTGCAGCTGCTGTGTCACTGGGGCTGGTGTAGCTGCTGTGTCACTGGGGCTGGTGTAGCTGCTGTGTCACTGGGGCTGGTGTAGCTGCTGTGTCACTGGGGCTGGTGTAGCTGCTGTGTCACTGGGGCTGGTGTAGCTGCTGTGTCACTGGGGCTGGTGTAGCTGCTGTGTCACTGGGGCTGGTGTAGCTGCTGTGCTTGTCACTGGGGCTGGTGCAGCTGCTGTGCTTGTCACTGGGGCTGGTGTAGCTCCTGTGCTTGTCACTGGGGCTGGTGTAGCTGCTGTACTTGTCACTGGGGCTGGTGTAGCTCCTGTGCTTGTCACTGGGGCTGGTGTAGCTGCTGTACTTGTCACTGGGGCTGGTGTAGCTCCTGTGCTTGTCACTGGGGCTGGTGTAGCTGCTGTACTTGTCACTGGGGCTGGTGTAGCTGCTGTGCTTGCCGGCTCTCCCACCACCAGCTTCTCTTTTCCTGAGTCCAGCTCTTCCTCCCCTGCCTTGCTGGGAAATGCTGCGGGGTCTCCTGCGTCCTCCTGGGGCTCGGCGGGCGGCAGCCGGGGAACGCTCTCGGCCGTCGCGGGGCTGGGCTCGGCCGCGGGGCTCGGCTCCTCCGCCGCCTTCTCCCGCTGCTCGGCCTCCCCGACCTCCTCCACCGGCAGCCGCTCCCTGCCGGCCTCCGGCCCCGCTCCCGCTTGGTCCCCGGGGCCGCTCTCCCGGGCCGCTTCAGCAGCCGCCGGCTCCCGGGGCCTCTCCCCCTCGGCTTCCCAGAGCCTCACGCAGACGGAGGCGAGGGCGAGGGCCAGGACGGTGAGGAGCAGCCGGACGGCCAGGGACCAGTCCACGGCCACGTCCGTCCCGCCCTGCTGCTGGAGCTCGCCCGTATTACAAGTCATTGCCATAAAGTACAGTGAGACAAGAACCTTAGCCCAAGCCCCACACTTGATAAACACTAACACAGCAAATACCGGCTCTAAGTAAGTTACAACATTCTGAAGCTGTGAGATCAAGAGGAACAACTCTGAGAGCCAATAAATCAGCATTGTGACGGTCAGATCTGTCGTTATCTCAACCCCTCGTGCCCCACGTTGGGCGCCAAAAAGAACTGTCGTGGTTTAACCCACAGCCAGACAGCTTGTTACCCACTCCCCCCCTTCTTGCCCTCCCCCTACTCCTGGAGGGACGGAGAGGAGAATCAGAAAGAAATGCAACTCCCACGGGTTGAGATAAGAACAGTTTAGTAACTAAGGTATAACACAAATCACTACTGCTACCACCAATAATAGTAATGATAAAGGAAATAACAAGGGAAGAGAATACAACACCCCATCACCAGGCGACCGATAACTCGGCCCCCCCAGCCCGACCAAGCACCGACCGATACCTCCTCCAACCCTGCAGTCCACTCTAGCCCTTCCGGGTCACTCCCAGTTACCTCCTGGGCATGACGTGCTGTGGTATGGAATACCTCTTTGGTCAGTTTGGGTCAGGTGTCCTGTCTCTGCTTCCTCCCGGCTTCCCTCCTCCCTGGCAGAGCATGAGGCCCACAAAGTCCTTGGCCAAACCAAAACATCATTGTTTTCCAGCTCTGTTCCCAGCTGAAAGTCAAAACACAGCACTGCACCAGCTACCAAGAAAAAGAAAAATGACTGCTACTGCTGAACCCAGGACACCTGGGCTCTTTAGTCAAACTTTAAGCTGAAATTCCTCTATGCCACCAACCAGAATAGCCTAAAGCCCACTCAGGAAGAGATTTTTCTTTCCTACTGGAGAAGGCTGACAGAGAAAGCCTCAGAGCCGCAGA